GGAGGTGGACACCCTCTCTACCTTTAAGATTAGACTTAAGACGTTCCTTTTTGATAAAGCTTATAGTTAGGGCTGGATCAGGTGACCCTGAGCCTTCCCTTAGTTATGTTGCTATAGGCCTAGGTTGCTGGGGGGCCCCATGATGCTCTGAGTTTCTTTCCCCTCCCCTCCTGCTCTGCTCTGCTCTCCTCTCCTCTCTCTCCCTATGCTTCTATATGCCACCATTACACATTACTAACTTTGTGTCTCCTCTCTCCCGTAGTGTGTCCTCACTCTCTCCCTGTACCTTTCTGCAGGTTGCCCTGGCCCTGGAGCTCTATGTCTCTGACAAGCAGTCACCAGCCACATCGACCTGATCAGTGTTTGATTGTTGTGTCTTGTTGCTTTTCTTCTTTTGTCTCTCCTCTATCCACTCACCCCAACCGGTCGAGGCAGAAGGCCGCCCACCAAGAGCTGGGGTCTGTCGGAGGTTTCTTCCATTAAAGGGAGTTTTTCCTCCCCACTGTCGCCAAGTGCTTGCTCAAGGGGGATTTGTTGGGTTTTCCCTATGTAATAATAGTGATAACAGTAAGGTCTAGACCTTCCTTTGTAAAGTGTCCTGAGATGACTTTTGTTGTGATTTGGCGCTATACAAATAAAATTTGATTTGATTTAAGTTCAGAGTTTGTTGAACCAGCTTTCTGGACTAACAGCCTTGTTTCTGTCTAAAACAAAATTAATTTTCCAAATGTACAGCATCATTTTGACTACCATGTTTATGTGCTGTGTTGTATCCATGCAGGTCATATCTCGGTGGAAGGCTTTGCTAAATATCTGACTGGTGAGGAGAACAGCATCATCCCCCCTGAGAAGCTGGACCAGAGTGAAGACATGACCTTACCCCTCTCCCACTATTTCATCAACTCCTCACACAACACATACCTCACAGGTATGTGCATAATTCAAGACATCAAAAGCTGTGTATGTCGTTAGCTTTGTGTGTCTCTCTGTCTGGTTTGCACTCACGTACTGAACTCGATTTTACTCCTGACTGATTACACAAGCTCATCTGTTATTCTTCTATACATGAACAGATGACTTGTTCATTTAGAAATACAATTATGATTGCACAAGTGAATACACCCGACTTTATTCCTCACAGGTCAGTCAATCAGATGCGCTGTTGCAGATCAGGCCCCCCTTTCTTGCGTTACCTCTCAAGAGGTGATCCAATCAAGTCATGCCATGAGACTCAATTCATTGATATTCATGAGTTAAATATTTCTTTAGACTAGAAGTCACAGTAACCAGCTCCCGGCAGTGCACAAACCTGGCATTTTCTTGTCAGTGAATATTAGAATTCATCTATTCAAATCTGTTCTGGGGGGAAATGGAGAGCATTGAATCTTTCAAGTGGATCAAATTTCACCAGAGATGGAAAAGAAATTGAATTTCTGTGGTAGGTCAGTCTCATAGCCTGTGAAAAACTAATGAGAAACAGAAACAACAGGTCCCCATTTCTGTCCTCAGGAATTATCATACTGAAACACTGTGCTTTTATATTAGGAAACAGTAACAGTGCAGAATGTTTTTCTGTCCCTGCAGTATTTAACATGTTTATAAGGAAGATCAACAGCTTGTGCAACTTACTCATTGATGTATTTTCATCCTACTGAGCCATAAAAAATGTACATGTACAATAAATGAACTCAATTAGGAAGCGAAATGTCCCTAGTGGTGTCGGATTTGAATGTCTGTCAAAGCAAAAAAAAAATGAAAGAGTGAGAGAAAAAAAAGATGTGAGAAGGAATGAAAAATAGTGAGGAGATGAATGATGGCGCCGGAGGTGAAAATACAGATCTGCCTCTCACTTCAACACAGTTCCCAGAATGGTATGCTGCTAATGTGAAGAGATGATTGCTTTGCTAATAGTGACAAGGTGATGAGATTTCCCTGCTTCAAATAATGACACGTGTTGTTTTTACCGCATGCTAATAACCAATGTGGTTAATGAGCTCTTGAAAAGTGGGAGGAAATGCTTTTTTAGGCATTCATTCATACATTTTGGATCACTATAACAGTTGCCTGATGTGGTTGTTTGTGTCTTTATGTGTGTTTGTGCGGCGATGCAGCCGGCCAGCTCGCAGGGAACTCCTCAGTGGAGATGTACAAGCAGGTGCTCCTGATAGGGTGCCGCTGCATAGAACTGGACTGCTGGAAGGGTCGCACCACTGAAGAAGAGCCCGTCATCACTCATGGCTTCACCATGACAACTGAAATCTCCTTCAAGGTAACACAAGGACACCAGTGTGAAAACGATGCAGACAAGGGATTTGGGGGCGGGGGCAAACAAAGAAGGGGGTTCTAGATTCACAGATCTCAAGGACAGATAATGTAATCCCCATGTTGTGCACATGATCCACTCAATTCATTTAATCAAACACTGGTACATGTGGGTATATGGGTGGAGCCAACACCCACATCTACAGTGTTTTAGTTATTATGTGTTTTAGGTATTTGTGGCTTAAACGTGGGTTTTTATTTCTGGATCTCATCCTCATTTCCAGTAAAATGTATTGGTAAACATGATTTTTCCCCTCTAATATGCAATGAATGTCCAAGTGTGTTGGCAGCCACCTTCTGTATGTGAACAACTACATCCTCAAAATATCAAGTATGCAGCTCCCAACTGTAGTATCAAATTCAGAAGCTTATTTCTGGCTAAATAAGGAAAACAGGTTCTTAGATGCCCAGCAGTGGAAAATAACTACAAAGTACAGTACATTTAGTTACATACTGCACTTAAGTACAATTTTAAGGTTTCTATACTTCAGTATTTTCATTTTGTGCTACTTCATACTTCAACTTCACTACATTTTAGAGGCAAATATTATACTTTTTTACTCCACTACATTTATTTTATAGGTATAGTTACTAGTTATTTTTCAGAATCAGATTAATAAAACAAAATACAGTACAATTATAAGACTTTATTGATCCCTGGTGGTGATGCAGAATGGCACATAGTACTTTTAGTATATTTTAATGTTAATACTTTTGTGCTTTTGCTTATGTAACATTTTGAATGCAGGACTTTTACTTATAACAAAGTTTTTTTTACATTGTTGTATTCTTACTTTTACTTAAGTAAGGGAGCTGTGTGCTTCTTCTACAACTGCATATAAATGTCAGTGGTGGTTGTTTTGTTGACACATGTTAATTAAATTACATGTGATACAGCAAACACTCCTCGAGCAGCTTCTTCCTCAGAAATACAAGAGAGTCATGAGATGTATCTTTATACAGTGCAGCCAAATAAACTCTATACGTTTTTTTAAAAAGTCAGTTGACAATAACTGCAATTGCACTGACTTCATGGTGCACATGGCACAGTGTATTCTCCACACAACAGGTCACAGTAAAGTTGGTTACTGTGCTGAGGAGCTGGAGGTTTGCGTCTAACTGCTCAGCGTGGCTGCTTGTTCTTGTTCTGTTACTGCCTTGCAAAAATAAATGATCAACTGATACCAGAAAGACCATGTTTTGATTTGCACGCAATCATGATCAGCACTAACCATGATGACTAGCATGGGTGTTTTGCAGTTCACCAGTTGCATGCTTTGAGTGTGAAGCAGCAGCAGTATAGACATGTTCAGTTTGTAATACTTCACACAGCTCTGACACAGTAAACAGAGCAACAGTAAACAGTGAGATCGAATCAGGCTGGATTACCAGCATGCATTGTGTTTTCCCATGAAACAGGTGTTTAGGTAGACAGTCTGAATCCAACAC